ACTTTGTAAAAGATTTTTGCAGTTGACCCTGCGTATATGAACTTTGACCCCTTAAGGAGTTACAACCCCTTTCACAATAAAAGCTTGTTATCGCTACTCCTTCGAAACCATAAACCGTAGAGGTACGGAACCTTCACCAATGTCTTCGACTACTTGAGGGGACTCTTCAATCTTTTCATTGCGAAAGTATTCGTGGACCCCTTTTATGAGTTATTGCCCCTGAAAGTTTTTGATGTTTACAAATAATTAAAAATTTTCAAAACGATAAGTCGTAGAGACATCGGACCAACTGCATAAGATTCATTGACCTTTGACCTTAAAATATATGCAAAGGTCAAAGGTCAAAGTCATTCAAAAAATGAGAAATTAAGCTCTTTTTATATCTATTTTGTCTTTCAACATATACTTAATATCTTTGCATCATTAATATGTCCTCTTAAAACTGTTTCAAAGATTTCATACTTGTCCCCTAAGATTTACCCCTTTAAAAGTTATTGCCCCTTTTACTGAAAACCTTGTTATCGCTACTCCTCCGAAACCGTAAACTGTAGAGGCACAAAACCTTCACTAATGTCTTCAGGGTCTTTAGACACAACTTCAATCTATTCAGTGTGAAAGTATCCGATGACCCCTTATATGAGTTATCACCCTTTAACGTCTTTGCGCTTACTATTAAACCTTATAACTTTAAAACTAAAAGTTGTAGAAGCATGGGGTAAAGTTCAATGTGACCCTTGACTTTTGACCTTCAATATGTGGTAAAGGTCAAAGGTCAAGGTCATTTCAAAATTTTGAAAATTTTCATTTTTTTCTATCTTTCAAGCCATTTATGGATTCTTTTTGTATAAAAATTAACTTTAGACAGTAAAATATGAAAAATATATGAAATTTAAAGAAGGTGGAAAGACCTCTAATTGTTCGAGAACAATTAGTCTACTAGTTGTATTACTGTTTCTGAGTTTATCCATGCAAATGTGATATTGTGGCCAGGTGGGTACAATCATTCGCCATCTCGAAGACACATTTATTGTTATTTATGTCTCTGGCCATCTCAACGGAGGCAAAAAGCTCATGATCGTAGAAGCAAAATTAATGTAACTACCCGATTTTATTTTATCCTTCCTTTCTTTTATGCTTTTTTTGAGGTGAAAGGGGGGGTGTTACAACTCCAGCTAGAATAACATCTAAGTGAAGTAGGCATTGTTTTTCCGCCAAAAATTACAATAACATTATTTTTATTTCTTAACTTTGAAATAAATCGAAATAATTAAATAACGTCAGTATAACCGATATTTTCAATTTGAAATGTGTCTAAATGATTGCAACTTGAATTTGTTCGCCATGTTTACTATTACCTTCACTGCTGAGATTTATAACTCCACCTCCAAAAATTTCTTTAACTTTAAAAAAAAGTGGGTGAAATATGTAAATTATTGTTATTGATCTTCAGTACGTTATGTAGAAGGGACAGCCTGTTCTTCTAAATATGCAAAGGTTGTCATCGTAACTACTCTTGATAGGTAGTCTGAAGTCAGCCCTTGCGGCCCGTACAGTTCATTCTATCAATGCTGCTAAAATATCGATCGTTTGTAAAATATAATCCATGCATAGTAAATCTCAAAACTATGAGGTGGGACAAAATTAAGATCGTAAAAAATATTTATTCAATGATGAAATGAATTATATTTAGCCGTAGCAAACAAACTTTATTAAATCGCCACAAGAAAAAATACACCAGCGTGAAAACAAGTTGTCCTCTTCAGGAGCCATGACAGTTCTCATGTGATGTTACGACTTTTGATTGAAAACGTTTAATACTGCAGTAGATTAATTTTTGTTATCACTAAACATATAAATGTTTTTGAGGTATGTATTTTATTTTTGCTGCATTATTTACGTATGACGTAAGAAAAATTCCCATATTCAGTTCAAGATCTGCTCCCAAATTCTCATTGGCTGTCCCAAAATAAAATCGGTCAAGGTCAGTAAACTTTAAAATTTAAAGTATTGTTGAATCATAAAAGATGAAAAAAACTTTCAAATTGGTTACTATTTATTTCGAATTTTCAATAACTATAACAACTGAAGCAAACATATTGTTTCCAAAAATCGAATCAAAATTATTCAAAAACCGAGGTTTTTGTTTTAATCGAATCGATTCAAAATATTACTAATTCAAGGATATTACATTAATTTTTATTAAAACAAACAGTCATGAGAGCATTTTCTTATATCATATATAAAGTACATTTGATATTCTTAATTTTTATAATGATCTCTTCAACAACCAGTATGTTTTTTTTTTTTGGGGGGGGGGGGGGATTTGCAAGATAATCTGTTCTGCTTCACATCTGCTAAATTGTGTAGAAATGTAGAAATACCAGTGTAGCACATTTGTCCATTTTCATTTCTGCTTTTACAGATTATATACATGTCTATTACCTGTGTATATATAAAGTATATATATTAGCAGTGCTTAACTCTTTTATTGTTGAGCTCATATTTTGAACAAGTTGAGACCTGCAGTGTTAAAATTGTTACAAAATTTTTTACACCTTTAGTTTAATTACTGATTGTGTAAAAATACCAGCTTAGCACATTTTCATTACTTTGCTTGATATGTATCAGCAGTGCTCAACTCTTTGTTGTTGTCATATTTTCAATAAATATCCATAAGTTCTTTTATTAAATTTGTTTGGAAAGGTGAAATTTATGTAAGCTCCGGCGTGATTCGAACTCATGACTTGATGTATAGATAACGGGGGGTCAAACCCATTCTGCGCTACGCCGTTACGCAACAATTTTGCCAAAAAAACAAAAAAAAACAAAACAAAAACCGAATTATATTCACATTCATTGTTTATTTCAAAAGTACCTTACAATATGAATGTGTCGATGTATCTATTTTGTAAATGTCCGATATGCACATGGATGCATTCATAACAATGTCAACTCGTGCACGCACTGGTCAAAGTCTAGTATACTATAAGTATATAGGTCCCTGGTTTTTGTCGCCAGACAAATTTTTCTTAGGTGCCAATTTTAAGAGCTGATATGCTGATATGAGTCCAAATAAAGATATATGGGGGTAGACACGGGAAGGGGTGTCTAGTGAGATAATCTTTGCCCCCCCCCCCCCCAAGTCGGAATAGTAAAATAAGAGATACAGTTACTAAGCAATGTTCAAAGTAGACATGAAAAAGACCGTTTTTGCTTTGCAATATTTTATCCTTGATTGAACCCCCCCCCCCATTCTATTCACTGTCCACATACAATCATTACATTCGCCAATAAATAAATAAATAAAATTTAATAATCTTCAAATCTTTGAAATTGTAAAGTAAAAATTACCTTATCATGAAATATACGCTAGTTAAATGCTAATTTTATTTTAACTTAGGCAAGCTTGAAAATTCTAGTATTCAAAATATAAATAAATAAAAAATTAGTAATCAATCATCTTTTTTAAGAAAGTTGGATCTTATGAAATACATGTAGTCTTTAAAGCTATAATAATATCGAAGGTTGTTTACTTGATTAATATAACATTGTATTCTCGTCCGTACAATTACGACCAAACACTACGATATTTCTAATGAGTGAGAATTTAACTGACAAACAACTGACCACATCACCCGTCTAATTTACTGAATTTCACAATTGTTCTTTCACAAGTCTGTTTTTCAATACTTGGACTCTCAGGGGAAATTTTTTTTATATAGAAAATGAAAGCCCTAAGTCTACTACTTTATATCGCTGTTCGAAATTGGACATTGGGACTTGGTCAGTTAATAGGCATATGGACAGGGCCATTTTATGGAGTTAGTGAACCTACCTCTTTATTGATTTTTATCTTTCATTATGTAGGCATATAATTCGGCTCATTCCCCAGTTTCTTCCATGATAACTATGTGTTTTACCATTAATAAAACAGGTTCAAGCCGTGTTACGAATTTCTGTGAAATAAATGTTTTGATTACTCCATATCGTTCTGTCCAAACCATAGGCTTGAGAGCAGCCAGTGGTATTTTATAGTCAAGCCTTTTGTCCCCTCCATTTTGAAGTGAGGCCCGATATATTAGTTCTGCTAAAATTTGTTGTATGTTCAATGTAGAATAAAATTCTTAAATAAAAGTATTGAATATGTATGACGTACTTCCTTTCAAGACTGTCTTTCTTTTCTTTGTAGAAAACAAAGACATTTTTGGTAATCTGCTGGTAATCTAACTAGCTCATGATTTAATAGCTGAAAGAGATGGTTAGCTAAAGCTTACTGAGATATAGTACTCAACATAAATATGGTGTGGAACATTCAAATTTTATGTGTTTCTGTTGGGGAGGGGGTCAAATATTTAACCATTTTCAAATCAATTACATGGACAGGTTCACCAGCTTAGATTACACTTTTGTTAGGCTACGTTTTAATGAACTTGATATAGAGGTATAAAACGAAGATCTTAATTCTGATTAGTAGAGCATAACCTAAACGAAAGGCTAATCATTCCTAATTACAAAGGACTAGACCTCGAACCATTTACTCCTTTACATTATCATGAAAAATTGTTACCAATAAAACTAATACCAAAATAGTGCAAAATAGTGCAACCTGGGCGGTACTATTGTATCTAACATGTGTAAGTTTACCTATTTTACAACCATGACAGAACGTGTGACTTTTGACACTTTTTTTTAATGTTGAGATGTGCTTTCATCTGGCAGCAAAGTCCCTCCAGAAAAGACTACAATTGTCTTTAGATCTGTTCGTATTTAACATAACATGTTTACATTGATACTAGTTGTTGGTTTTTTTTTTAATTATGAACCCAAATATTACGCTCCGTATTATAACACTGTACGGTATCTAATGAAGGACGTCTGATAAATCTAAGGACTGGTGTACTTAAGTCTGTTGAAATGAACGTGTATATTCTGTATAATTCAACTGTAAAACTGAACGTTATGAACCTAAATAAAACTAAATAGACTACAAATCTACTTACTTGGTTTCCTGTAAGCTTTGTTGTCGATGATGTTAATGTCCCAGTGTGGATGGAGGCCTATACAGGATCTCACGATGTCAGGTCTTCCGTATCTCCAGAGCCATGTCACGTGTTGTACACTGTCCTGTGATCTTCCTTTGCGATGTACCACCTCCCCTTCATTTCTTAAATCCATCACAAATTTTTCTCGTTCATCTATACTGTCCTTTTGTACACTTTTTTTAACATTCACTGTAGAAAAAGACAAACATTAATTATGTGAAATTTAATAAATCGAACAAATAAAATCAAGCTAGTATAGATATACACTTAGGTACATATATTTCTAATCACAAACGAGATTGATTAAAAAGACCATACAGTTTTTCTGTCAAAATACATTTACGTGTATGTAAACTTTGTAGCATCAGTGTAAGCTCCGCTGATTAACTATGAGCCAAATCAAAAATTATTTACAGTAATGCTGACTCTGTCTTATGTCTAAATATATCAAACTGCAGAAATCAATCAATGATTTGAAACATTTTCTGTATTTGGAAAATAATTACATTCCTTAACACTGACTTACATATCTGGTGTATGTCATCATATATATACGTGTCCTCCATGATGACGTGAGTCAGTATGTTCATCTGTAGACGGCGTATCAGTAAGTCATCACAGTAAGCAGTACTACTGACACACTTCTCTCCGGGTTTTCTGTTGTATCCAGATGATCTCAGGTACACACTGGCTGTGTCATAACTACTGTAAAAGAATGGTATAAAACTGTCTATTGATGCTTTCCTATACATTGTCTCATCCTTGGTGTCCTTCGTTATCTTGTCCTTATCTTCCCAAAGGAAATCACGTGACTTCAGTCTGTCCAGAGTCTGCTGTGCTTCCTCACTTGTTACAGGATTATATTTACCGTACACTATCTGTCGTATCACATTAAGCAAGTCCAGCCACTCTTTGTCAGTGAAGTCAGGAGGACTGGAGTCAGAACACAGAAAACAAAATAACACGGATACCTCGTCATCAGTCAGTGTGGAAAATTGATCTAAAAATGTAACGAAATTTTATAAGCATTATCAGCCCATTAGTGTTATCTCACATTATAGCTTAAAGGCTCAGAATTATTTTGTAGAAATTACTACTTTGTGAATATTTGATTTCTTATGTTTTCTTCTAATTCACCTCATGTTCCTTATTTCGTATAAAAGATTTGTTTTTAGTTACTTTTTCACTGCGAAACCAATGGTGAACCTGTTAATTCCTAGACAGTTTAAATGTGAATCTTGAAACCATTTAATATGTATGAATTTGTGACCTTGATCTCTCATCTCCTAAACTCTAAATCAGTTGGAATCTTCTTAAGCCATATAAGAGTTTATGATAAAAAGAATCTGACGTCGCCCAAAGAATTGGGGGGGGGGGAGTTTTTTAATGTCAAAATAGCATATTTTTTTTTAAACGCTTAAAGTTAAAGTACAAGTGTTGAAATATACATTACATACTTCATATTGGGAATAATTGGTTTGAAATTGCATGCCCCGATTGAATTAATTACAGTTAGACACTATCCATTGTCACCCAATCCCTCGGTGTCGTTTTCATAATCTTTAGCATTATGTTTCATCATGGGTGAAAAATATTTTCTTGTATTTAGGTACTGTGACATCCCATTCAGTAATGCTGACTTCTTTTAACGACCCCCCTCCTTTTATTATCATGTCTTCTTTCATTTTCTATTTTGCTTCTTGTGTTGTTTTGTACTCATCATTATTTTTTTTCCTGTGGTGACTGGTTTACTTAGTATATTGCTCTTTAATACGACAAGTGCGCACCAGGAAATCCATTTTTTGTATTATTTCTTACGTTTTCTTGGCATGCAAATGTTAAAAATTGAATGTCTAACATATTAGACTAGATATCCAATTTTTTTGCTGTTTTCTTTAAAAAGGTTAAACTCTTTATAATTTTAATATAAAATTGTATTAATTTGCACACTTTGAAAATAAGATTCTATCTCTGATAAGTCTTCTGTTTAAAATATCAAAGAACTCACGGGTCTCTTTGATATACATCTCGAGCTCGTTAAATATCATAACACAGTAGGCTTGCATGTAATTGTGCCACAGTAACAAAACTGACTAGACATCAAAATCACTACCAATATCTCCAAAAACTTGCTTATAACTTTTTAAAGAAACATATAGAGTACCGACCAGACACAACTTAACACCAGAGCGAACCCCAAAAGCGAACCCCGAGTTCGCTTTGTGTTTGCTCAGGGTACGCTATTTACCCGGTAAAAATCTGGTTCCGCTTTGAGTGCGCTCCGGGTTTGCTGTGCGTTAGCTCGGGGTCCCCTCTGGGTTTGCTAGAGCGAACCCGGCGTTCGCTTTCAATCAAGCGTGAAGCGGACCCCCGCTTCATCTTACCGCGTGTTAGCTCCGCCCCTTACATATTCGAATCCAAGTATATATTCAGTTGCTGAAACGATTCATTGATGTTTAGTGTCGATCGGAAGCACGTATATGATCCTGCAAGCGACAATAGGAGAACATTAATAAAAAGAACAGAATATCTCACTATATAGTTCAATTTATTAGCAGTACGCGATCAGACAGAGTTCTAAATAATTTTTGTGTTAAATGCAATAAGCATATTTATAATGAATGAATAAAGATGTCTGAAATCCAAGGTAATGTACAGGTAATTCTACTTTTAAAGGGCTAGGACGTGGTTTGATATTTTCTGTATAATGTGTACGAAGTCGTGTACCTCGCCTTTTACACTTACACTTACAACTTTAGGTATACAAATGTTTTGATTAACTTCACATGGCGTACTGCTTGCGCCAATTGGTCAACGCCGTAACTTGATTGACAGTTCTGTTACGTAATACCGAACGCCGGCATTCTGGGTGCGCTTCTGAAATCCTGGTTCGATACCGGCTTTCGCTCTGGGTCCGCTGCGGGTTCGCTTTGGGTTCACTCCGGGTTCGCCTGAGGTCAGTCCTAGCGGACCAAAACCGAACACGGAAAGCGAACCCGGGGTTCGGTTGGGGTCCGCTTTCTCTTAGTTTGTGTTTGGTCGGTACTGTATATACTTCTTCATTTGGACATTTCATTTAGCCCTTTAGGTTTATCAAATGAACTTGTTCCATAATAAAACTTCTTTACCAAATTTTCCATTTGTCCTTGTCAAAATCACGACATATTACGGAATGCTACTGTTTTTACGAACAGTCGGAATCGGTCAGTATTGGAAATTTATTTATGAATTTTTTATGACATCATCACAGGGCATTAAAGAAGTTATGTGCAAATTGACGGAAAAATTCTTGTGTCCAAAATGAAAAAAAAAAAAAAAAAATTAAAACTACTAGCGCTCATGTTTTAGTGTTGCACGATACGCAATTAAAAACACCAATACTTTGCAAAATCTTCGGAATTTTTAGAGATATTATTCGGAAACTTATGTCTATCTTTCATACTAAGAATAATAACTTCAGTTCTCTTTAAGGCTTTAATTATAGAACTCAAATGAGGGATCTTTTTAAGAGATGAATTTAAGATTTGAGAATTCATGAGGGCATTAACTACGACGCTTCACGCCGGCATATTTCTTGAAGGGCGTTAGTGCTTCATGATAAATATGCAGGCGTGAAGCGTTGTAGTTCATGTACGTCTTGAATTCTCAAAAATTAAATTCATATCTTATATTAACATTATTTTTCTGGTGACTTGCCACATATTTGTCATTCAACGATCATTTTTACACTATTTTTGACTTCAATCACATAACAATGGAAATATTCTTACTCATCTCACGGTAGTTCATGAGAACATGAACTTTTTCTAATTTGTAAAGAATCTTAAGGAAAAAATATTTTGAAATGTAGATATTCATATATGAACTTGTGACATTTTTGGTCTCAAAATCAATCGGAATCTCTCTGAAATTAATGAGAGTCCTCACTTTGAGTTTTATTAAAACCTCAAACAGAACTAAAGTTATCGTGTAGATATCATTGTATGCAATATATGGATATCTTAGATACGTATCTGTTCCTTTCAATAAATTTTTAGTCAGTTTAAGGTTATGATATAAAATTTCAATACAAATGTATTTTATTATATTTTCATTCACAAAGCGGAACGACTTTTTGATATATCATCCAGAAACCAAACAGTTACAGATGATCGGACGAAAGCACTGATGAATGAACAGGTCCAAATCTACACCCCTTTTTAACTAAAGAGGGAGAGAAAAATGTGTTCTTTTTAAGGTTTTATCATCAAGAAATAAATAGATCGCGATTATTTGACATCCGTATGTGATGCCATATATAGTGATACATGTAAGATGATTTTTGTACCAATGCTCTTACTCAGATTCTTAGTATCGCAGTGCGAGGTAAATCAGCTATACATATAATCGATATCGGTTTGAGTTAAGCTAATCAAAATGCCAGCTATACACATATCTTTTGTCAACGGATTTCTGTGTGCTGTGTACCATGCGTGGTTCTAGAGGAAAAACGGGGGGATGTGCTGGAATTTTTTCAGTCAGTAAAATTTATATTATAAAACAATAAAAAAAAAGTCCTTAATAATGGAATCACACCAAAAACGTACGGAGTGCAAAATACACTTTCTGAATAATGTTAACGCCATGAAGTATAGATAAGCTGCTAAAGCAATGAAAATTATGTACATGTAAATTTAAGGACTTTGAATTCTTTCATTTGAAGATATTAACATTAAACGTCTTTCATTGTGCATTAATAAAATATTATCTTCATGAATGTATGATTAGAAATTAATTTTAAGGAAAACATGTTAAACCTTAATATGATTAATTTCTTAGTCAGGACAGGTGCTCACCTGAAACATTTGTCTTCCATGTGTTGTAATCATCTAAGGTTTCGAAAACACCTACGAAAGAGCAAAAATAGCGGAATTATAAAAAAAAATCATAAATGGACATTCCAATTGTCTTATTATTATGTGTAAGATAAATATAAGAAAACAAATCTTGCTTGTCATACCGCACTACCACTTGTCATTGAATGAGCAAAAATAGCGGAATTATAAAAAAATCATAAATGGACATTCCAATAGTCTTATTATTATGTGTAAGATAAATATATGAAAACAAATCTTGCTTGTCATACCGCACTACCACTTGTCATTGAAAGCCTTATTGCCAATCATACAGTGTGTTGTATATATACTATTCTTTGAGCCTAAAGTTATTCAATTAAAACAAGTACCTTAGATAATTAAAATCCTCCGCTTTTGGAATCTTACTGTTGGTAAGTAATAAAGAAATAAAATACATATTTAAAGATTCATTGGAATATAACAATGAGGTTGGTCACGTGATCAAATCCTTTAACACCTGAAGGGCTTGTTACTACTTTCTACACCAATTACCTCCTAGATACCCAGGCGCAGAGAAGAATTTCGTATAGATAAAACATTTTAACTTTAAAGATTCAATACAGTCCCCATCTTAACAGCAGACGTCTGACTCCATGAAATTTCACAATTTTTGAAGATGCAAATTTTCTCAACAAAATGGAACACTTAATTTATCAGCTCAATATCCAGGAGCAGAAAAGATTTTCGAAGAAATAATGTCAGGGTTCTCCATCATTTCAGATTTAACTGTGGCGCAAGACTTAAGCGAAGTGCTAATATTCGCGTTCATTTCGCGACTGAATTCGCGAAGGAACCACGAAATAAATTGATAAACACACAACCCCGATGAATCAATAGTTTAATACACAGATGACATTTATTATTTGGCAATTTGATTTATAAATTTATTAATAAAAGCAATTAATCGATATCGATTAAACATAGTGTAAAACAAAAATAAGGATGTTTCTAAAATATATGCATACTGTGAAAAAGACCCCCAATCATAAAACCCTATTTTAAAAAAAAAACTGTTTACAAAAGGTAAATTATAGAATGTTTATGAAAGGGCAGAAGAAATTCTGGTAAGTCACACATTACGCTAACATCTATATATATATATTTGTAATTATCGGTCTGAAGACTGAAATATCTTCAAACATGTGAATTTAAAAAATGCTTAAGTAATTTAGTCATAAAATATTTTGGTGGATCTATCGTTAATTTTTCAACATTACAAAAATACATGATTACCATACACGTACGATGTTTTTCACTCGCAGTGCCAATGCAATTTTAGAGATGTGATTATCTGTAGAACTATTAAAGCATGAATTAATCAATATCAAAAATTTCATTTGCAATTATCGTGAGGTATGGAAAATATGGCTTGTCTCTTTTCATTCAAGTGTCCAGCGAGGACTAGAAGATAATTGCTTGTGCAAGCCAAACAATGGGCCCTAATTAGAGTAAATTAACGGTTTAGCATTAGAAACTGAAAAATGGTACATAATTTGGAGGTTCATTTGGTTTTTAAATTTATATATTTATCTTACTGACAACGACTATCTTACTGTGGCGCTAATATTTTAACTGTGGGGGAACTATGGCGTTGATTTTTTAACTGTGGCGCTAAGGAGTTTAACTGTGGCGGGGCCGCCACGTTAAACGGCCCATGGAGAACCCTGATAATGTATTTTCACTCTTAAAGAAATAGAGCCCCACACTAAAATCAGAACCGTTCACCCAAATCGGAGAAATTAAGAATATATGAAAAGGCACTCTTGCTCATCATAACCTAGCATTTGGCTTGCTTTTTTAAATACCCAGGTGCAAAGAAATAATACATTTTCACAACATAATCAACAGAGCCTAAGCCTAGCATAAACCCCTGACCTACGAGGATGCAATTTTCATGATTCTGGAAAAGGCATCCTTGCTTATCATAATTATGCAAATTTTCTGCTAAATATTCAGGGACATAAGAAGATATTTAAAGAAAATATGCAAATCATTATCTGATCTATAGAGCCCTGTCCTAACACTAGAATCCCTGACCAAAGGGCCATGAAATTAAAAATTTTAGAAGAAGAAGCACCCCTGCTCATCATAAACATGCACTAAGCATGTTCCCTGAATATCAAGGAACAGAGGAGATTTCAAACAAGTGATAGATAGATAGATAGATAGATAGATAGATAGATAGATAGATAGATAGATAGATAGATAGATAGATAGATAGATAGATAGATAGATAGATAGATAGATAGATAGATAGATAGATAGATAGATAGATAGATAGATAGATAGATAGATAGATAGATAGATAGATAGATAGATAGATAGATAGATAGATAGATAGATAGATAGATAGATAGATAGATAGATAGATAGATAGATAGATAGATAGATAGATAGATAGATAGATAGATAGATAGATAGATAGATAGATAGATAGATAGATAGATAGATAGATAGATAGATAGATAGATAGATAGATAGATAGATAGATAGATAGATAGATAGATAGATAGATAGATAGATAGATAGATAGATAGATAGATAGATAGATAGATAGATAGATAGATAGATAGATAGATAGATAGATAGATAGATAGATAGATAGATAGATAGATAGATAGATAGATAGATAGATAGATAGATAGATAGATAGATAGATAGATAGATAGATAGATAGATAGATAGATAGATAGATAGATAGATAGATAGATAGATAGATAGATAGATAGATAGATAGATAGATAGATAGATAGATAGATAGATAGATAGATAGATAGATAGATAGATAGATAGATAGATAGATAGATAGATAGATAGATAGATAGATAGATAGATAGATAGATAGATAGATAGATAGATAGATAGATAGATAGATAGATAGATAGATAGATAGATAGATAGATAGATAGATAGATAGATAGATAGATAGATAGATAGATAGATAGATAGATAGATAGATAGATAGATAGATAGATAGATAGATAGATAGATAGATAGATAGATAGATAGATAGATAGATAGATAGATAGATAGATAGATAGATAGATAGATAGATAGATAGATAGATAGATAGATAGATAGATAGATAGATAGATAGATAGATAGATAGATAGATAGATAGATAGATAGATAGATAGATAGATAGATAGATAGATAGATAGATAGATAGATAGATAGATAGATAGATAGATAGATAGATAGATAGATAGATAGATAGATAGATAGATAGATAGATAGATAGATAGATAGATAGATAGATAGATAGATAGATAGATAGATAGATAGATAGATAGATAGATAGATAGATAGATAGATAGATAGATAGATAGATAGATAGATAGATAGATAGATAGATAGATAGATAGATAGATAGATAGATAGATAGATAGATAGATAGATAGATAGATAGATAGATAGATAGATCGATCGATAGATCGATCGATCGATCGATCGATCGATCGATCGTCAATAGAGATTCTCCCCATCAACAGAATTGCTTACTCTTTGGCCACAAATTTCACAATTTTGGTAAAAGCACCCTTGCTCACAATTACTATGCATTTAGTTATCTGCTTAATATCCAGGAGCAGAGAAGAAGATTTTCAAAGAAATAATGCACTTCACTATATTATCAATAGAGCACCGCTCTAACAACAGAACCAATGACCCAGGAGCCATACAATTTGAAACTTGGTATGAGGAATCCTTATACACCATAACTATATACTAAATTTGTTTGTTTAATACTCAGGATCAGAAAAGAATGATTTTTTAATATCATGCATTTTTACTTTATTATAAATGGATCCCCTTTTCACATGGCCTCCAGAACCCTTGACCCTTTCACGCTGAACACTAGGGAGCAGAAAAATGATTTTCAAGGAATTATGCATTTTCACTTAAACCGAAATCAATTTTACAAATTTGGCAATTTTACTTAGAAATGAAAAGAATGGATGCACTAGTACGATTTAAAATTAATGATTAGATTTTCTCACAGAATTTAAATCTATCTTCAACCCATGATAATAAGATTTTCAATGTTGACATTTTCAGAATGTAGGGATGAAAACAAAAACAGATAAAGAAAAACGGAAAACAAACACCCCCATGTTTGAAGAATGACAAAACGCACAGTGTAATACATGAATGTGTTTAAAAGTAATTGTCATTCCGGTTAAAAATAAAAAAAAAAGACTAAGCAAAAGAAAATAAATATCCAAAGATGCCATGAAAAGACAAATCTATGTTAACTAGCAGAAAATGTTGAATTTTTTTCATATATAAAGGACAAGATAGGCTAAGACCCCTTTTTGGCTCCTGGTTTGGGGTTTCTTTTAGAATGATGCAACAGTTTATCAATAGAAACCTGTTGTCACCCTGCCACAAAATGAGCATTGGTTCTAAGTTATGGGATACACTTAGGTCACAGGAAGGTCAGAAAATATGTCAATTTCCGAATTCAATTTTACAGCACATTTTGTTTCAGAAAATATAATCAATAGAAACCTGTTGTCACCCTGCCACAAAATGAGCATTGGTTCTAAGTTATGGGATACACTTAGGTCACAGGAAGGTCAGAAAATATGTCAATTTCCGAATTCAATTTTACAGCACATTTTGTTTCAGAAAATATAGAACACAAGCTTGCCTATGTACGAAATTTATATATTTCATACACTAGTATCAGATGCATCTTATGCATAAAAATCTCAGATAGAAAAACTTGTGCTCTATGTTTCAATAAGTGAAAAGTATCTCAAACCTGACGAAATTCCACCGGAATTCAGGAAATTCGGGAAAATATCCTACTTTTACACACTCTTGTGGCCTCCGTGTAATATTTGAATTAAAATAAGTGCTGTTTTTTTTTTTTTTTTAAAAGCATCATTATAAGTTCTTAAGTATAAATTGTTATAATTTTAAATGTGTTCTGATTTTTACATCAACTAAGGGGCCAGATTCAACCGTTACCATACCTTGTCCTTTGA